ACAGATTAAAAAAAGACACACCGTGACGCAACAGCTAATCACTATTGTTATGCTGAATTCCCCAGTTACGACAATGGCCTTGAGTTGCGGAGGACGAGATTCGGTTTGGACAAATTTGTTCCGTATAACGAGGTGATTGTCTGGTTCGATTTATATTGTTTGAAAAAACAAAACCTCAGAAAAGAAGAAAGGAAAAGGCGGCGGTTTTTTCTGTGTGTATATATGTCAGTTTTCCATTTTTTTTTCTCAACAAGTTTGTGCTAGCTATATTTTTTTCTTCTTCTGGGCGTAATATATCGAGATTTTGAACTCAGCGGTTTGTGAAATTCACATTCATTTCGTGTGTGAGCCCACGCTAATTTCTGGTTTGAACTCGCAGACAATCTCAGCCGGATCGGCTCTCTGGCAAAAACTAAATCGATATAACAAACACGCGGCGAGTTAGTTTTGTCTAGATCGGTTGGATACGCTCACGCTGGGAAAACCGACCGAGTACAAAGCTGCCGATCACGCACCCTGCCAGTGCTAGAATATTTACAAGTGCGTTTCCTTACGCCGCTCCCCCGGTGGGTGCAGTGTATTTGCTAACAGCAATCCAAATTGCTTTGCTTGATTAGGAGTCGGCGAGGCTTTTCTGCCAGCTCCGTATATATATAAACGCCGCCAAAACAAGAAAGCCCCTTTTCCCTGCTGCGTATTGAAGAAAAGCCGTGGCTATTATAGAGAATTCCCCAGTAGATATCAGGGTTTGCCGTCTACTGTGTGTTTATTTCGAATTTTAAAAGCCCAGCTTCGCGTCAAATATTCAATATGATCATGGATGGCAATAAATGGGGGCATTGGTAAATTCATTTAAATATATATTGATGACATTTTAATCAGTTTCTCAGATTCGCTTCAAATAGTGATTTTCCATGGTGTTTTTTTTATTATTATTTTTTTTAAGTGGGCGTCCCCAATTCGGGATCATTTTCATGATATGCCTTCGCTAAATAATCGGTTTTATAGCAGTATATAGATATAACGTCTGATATTATTTGAGAATGTTTTGTCAAATGCAGTTGGATTAAAATGGTGCGGATCTCCGTGCAAAAAAGTAAGTAACAGTAAGTGAACACAGGTTTTATCGTAATAGCGCAGAGACAAATGGGAGTACTGCGATGTGTTTGGATTTATGAACATGTGACGACATCATATAGACTATGGTCTATGAGAACATTTTAGCGATAAATCTAGCTAGACTATTTTGGCGGGAAAACGTATAACACAAACTATGGTTGATGCGAATACCTGCTGTTTTTTTCTCATTTAGAACAAATCTGGATGATCGCTCTGGAGCCACTAAATTGTCAGTGATGAATTGGGTTTATTTGGGTTAGTTCCATGTTTATTGGTTATAATTTTCTTCTACTCTGTATAATTGTCACCGACACGAGTAGAGATTAAATGGTTGTATATACGGATGCTGCGCGTGTATGGCATAGGCGTGTCCACCTTTACACTACCCTCATCCCCCTCGTACGTCAGGTGCGAGCCCTCAATGGTCGATCGCGGTTACTAAAAATAGCGGCGGCTCGAGAAACTCCGTGCTGATTCATAGGCCAATCCGGACAGTTGTTTCACCACTTTTATAACAGGGTTTAAGCTACACAGATTTTAATTGGGTCCTCTATCTTACACTAATCGCGCAAGCCAGCATGATTGACATCGGTCTCGAAGAACTTCTCACAATAAGAGAAAAAAATTGTAAGTTGAATGTAATCAGTGCATGCGAGAGTTCTTTTTTTAAAGAATCGCAACAGTTTTAAAAGAGCATTATGTCTGTTCTCCAATACAAGAAACGTCACTTGTCCGAACGATTTTAGGTCCCTTGAAACACAATATCAGTAAAAACACGGCTGACCATGGTACATATAAAGACGAAAATTCGGCTAAAGAATGAGGCTTGTTTGAAGAAATATACTAAAAATTGGCTGCATAAACAAAGGGAATTCTATAACTAATAAAGCATATACCATATTGTGTTTTATTATTGAAGAAAGTATACTGTATTTCATATATATATATATATTATATTCAGTCATCATTGGAGTCTTGGGCGCATGCGCAAACCAACTGATTGTTACAAACGTAGCTCTCCCCGGTGTACATTTCCGTAATTATAAGTTTATTCTATCATTTCCAGACATATTACATGTATGAGATTGAAATAGATTTATTTATTTACCTTTAAAGTGTGTTCTTGAAAAAATGTTTTTTTTTTTTTTAAATAGTGGTAACCAGTCTGTGGTGAATTTTGATTTGTGGCAGCGTGGTGAAAACGCGTAGATAATAGCCAGCATGACTGATGTCGACTGAGTCATGAGAAAGTCTACACGTTGGTGTCAACTGTCGGGTAAAAGATTGACGGTTTTGGCAAGTACATGCAAAAAATGCCTGTGTGTTTACATCATCTGAGTCGATGGCAGATATATGGGTGGTGTCGCCATCAAAGCGGCCGCCGATGTCAAACACAACACTTTCAAGCTGACCCCTGTCTTCAAATGATCCTGAGAGGGCGTTGTCCTGCGCTAATGAAAACAGGTAATCGGTCACCTCGTGACAGCTACGATAAAGTCCAATTGGCGATAAATCATCGCGAAGTTAACGACAGGACAGTTCACATCCGGCCAAGCATAACATTTTTTTTTTACTAGGAAAGGGGAAGTAAAATAAAACATACGCAATAACTGCCTGGAAGACTGTTGACGATTGGTGATCTGCCAACGTGACTCTTTGCTTGTCAGTCAGCTTACTTGATGTATATTCCACATATACGCGCTGATCGCTCACCACACTCAAAGAGTCTCCGCACTATATGTATTTGTTGCCAGTGTCACAGGTTCGATTATGTTTCCCCTTCCCATAACAAAAATACTGAGTTGGGATTGTGGCCATTGTCCAGGCAGGAACCATGGCGTGAAAGCCCCAGCCGTAATACTGGCACATAAATAGTATGGGCGTACATGGGTAATAATCTTATTGTCCACGTTGACGGTTTTGATTGACGTTAGTTTACTACGTCGTTTTCATAGCACACCGCCGAGCGGCGACTTCAAAGAAATACTCCCCACTATAGCTGTCTGAGCAACAAAACAATTTGCCAACACTCTTCAGTCTTTCAGGGAGGGCCGTTAATTGTTGTTTTTGGCGCTGTCTATCTGGCTTATTAGTGCAATTTGCCCCCTTTCAGGCACGAATTTCCAGCTCGTCAAAGTGTTTTCTGTTGGCTACATTTCGCCCCTCTGAGAGCGCTAGATCTTTCACAAATGGATTTCCGCAAGGGGGAACGTGAAGAGAGATCCGTAGAGTGCGCTGATTGAATTGGCCTGCCTTTGATTGATGCCGACATTATAGCGAATCTATCATCACGCCAGCTACTCGCTCCTATTATGTGTTTCTGACGTGAGCCCGATTCAAGGGCCTCTACTCTTTTCTCCGCGTAACCATTGTAAAGCAAGCTTTCTTACAACTGGCTTTGCCTCACAACATCGCCGCCACCAATTATCATGAAATTCAATCTTTTTTCCCCAGTATAATACCGATAAGGCGGCAGCTGTAACCCGCCACACTGCTGTGTTTTTTGAATATCAGAGCCACACCGATGTTTTTTTCGCTATCTCTTTAATCGCTCACCGAATACAGAATGCCGCGCTCTCCAAAATCGCCTTCGAATGTACACTCACGGCTCTAGGGTGGCACGCTCGTGATGTGCTTTCTATGTTCATATGGCCTTTGTAGACACCAAGGACCTGACCCCTCTTACTAAATCCGGTGTGGCCCCACGTAGTGCCCTTAAAAATTGCAATACTTGCCTTGTGTTGTGAAAATAAATGGGTCTATAATTTTTCTGAAAATTACCTATCAAATAAATAAATAAACAAAAACATAGATCATTTCCACCTACAGAAAACTTCCGGCGGCGGGCTAATATTTTTTTTACTGCTTTCTGAAAGGTGTCTCTTGACGGTTTTACCGCTTTGCCATCACTCATCAATTGACAGGGAGCAAAGACGTACCCGTCAAAGTCACTCCCATTTTGTGGACACTTGACAAAATATAAAGTTTACGTTGCAATGGTTTTATCTGACACAGTCATCGAGTAGATAAAAAACAGGCCCGTATTTATTGCCGCAGATAGACATCTCAGGCCGGGGTGCTTTGAAGTTCGCCGCTTGTCTGCCGAAGCTGTCAACATAGTCTTGTCACTTCTTTCAGTACGTCAATCGGTGTCTGTTTTCAAACACCCCAGCTTGCCGCAGATTGATTGATTGATAAAAGATAAGGATCTCGATAGGGCGGTGAAGCTTTGAAGTTTTCCGACATCGTACATATAATACGCCAAGAGCCTTCTCCACACAAAACACTCTAACCTTCAGTGCCGTGTTTGCCTAAATGCAGCTCCACATCAATAAATACAACGCTAAGTGTGGCATACTGCAGTTAGCGGGACTCCCTTTGTTGTCGGACAAATTGAGCTCACACAGACCGATTTACTTTCGGCAATTCACTGGCCTTTTCAGAAAACTTTTTCAAATTACCCTAGCCATGTAATCGCCTACAAAGGGTGACATAAATCAGACGCGATTGACAGCCATCACGTTGGAATGATTGATTACGCTTTTTGATCACTGCCTGGAAGAGTGCCAAAATACATTCAAGATGTTCTTCACTGATTGGGTGATGATAATGAGTGGGGTGTGATAAAATGATGAGGAGCTGTCGCCTTCTCGTCAGTTTGACAGCGACGTCAGCATTCTGACCAATCAATGAATGCAACCTGTGCACCGCCGCGATTGGTTGGTTATCGGCAGTCTGCTTTCATCTCAGCAGTAATTCACTGCTGGAAGTTGAAGTGTTGTCGGCAAATTTGTGTTTTTGTGTGTTGTCTGGAGGGGCGGCATGCTTCACAAGAAAACTTGTGTGGTTTCGAGCAAACCAGCACATTCTTGCTTAGCGATCAGCGCTGTCAGGTCATGAGCAATTCTGCTCCGGTGAAGCCATTGGAAAATAACGTAGAAAAACCACGCTCGGATCCGGATAGACAAGCAAAGCGACTTCCAATTCGTGCTATCAACATGCTTAGTGCCCGATCTCAACATATCCTCCATACGGAGTACCTTCAACCGCTGCCAACTCCGCCAACAGTAAGTATTCTATAATATCATTCTGCCAGCGAACGTGGGAAACAAGCGTTTGGTACATTCGATTTTATCTACGTGTATATTTTTAATTTTATATTGGTAAGAATTAATACGCGTCAGTCACGAACTCGCGCTAGCCTGACTTCTCCGACTGTTATTCCCCGTTGATTAAGAGCGACGACTGTTTAAAAACAAAAAGCGCCTGTGCGATGTTTAAAGGGTTAGCTCGTCTATGGCCTGTCCATCGTGTTCATTATTTTTTCACTGGAGATGTCTGTAATATTGTTTTTAATATTCACTGACTGACTGTCGCAGGGGAATATTAAAATGCTCGCAATGTGTTCATGTTTCTCTCACAATGGTAGTATATATGACCAGAGATTATCCATGTAAACGTGTACCTCGCCATTTGCGCCATGAACCTATTTATTCAACGGATATTTTACCATAAACACGCTATTTTCCATGATCTTCAATCGAGTTACTAAAATAACCACGAAGGCCATATATTGAAGACAGATAACAACAGCTGAACCGAAACCTGGCATTTCTGTGCGTGTATTTATCTCATTTAGCCTTGTTGTTTGTGTGCGCTGCGATATATTTTAAGTTGTGAATGTCTGATTTATTAGGATCGTCGGCCCTTTACCGATTCACCCCATCACTAAGCATGATAGATTATAATTGCGTGCTAGACCGAGATTTGAAACTAATTTTTGTTTTCTGTTGTGATTATTTTTCAGTATGATGCGAAAAAGAGTCCGCTCGCCTTGTTGGCACAGACGTGTAGCAGCATCGGAAAACCCGATCCCCCGGTTACTGTATCACACAGGGAATCCAAATCATCAACAACGCACAGTGATTCACTGTCTAACAAATCATCAAGCAACGAAAAATCAACATCAACTGTTTCGATGCATTCCAGGTCATCGTTCACGCCGTACAAACAAAAAGTAAAACGCGAAGGGGACGCTCTAATCACCAAATTCGGATATGGAAAAGGAACATCTCCCGTAACTACAGTGACACCATCGAACCGCACAGACAGTAAGCCGTCGGCTGCTGCCTCGCCATTAAAGAGAGAGACGCCGCCGTTAAGTGTATCTGCTAGCACGACCCCTACATCTACACCGAGAAGCAGTCCGAACACTAATCATATCAGTCATACTGGCATTAGTTTGAGTTGTGGAAGTATGCATGTTGAGGTAAATCACCACGAGTCAACCGGCAAGCATCTGTCAACGCCGACCTCGTCTTATAAACCAGGAGACTCGACACCACCGGCAGCCTCTCAGGCCCCGACGTTAGTACCAGTACCGGCAGCTGGCACTGTTCCAGCACCAACAACAAGTGCATGCGGATGTTCACCGCAAGTTGTCGGACATGCTATACAAACCTCGGACGCTAACCCGACAAGCCCGACCATGAGAGCTGTTATGTCGGTCGCAGCAGCAGCACACTGTACGCCTAAGCACAGCCATAACCACGGACTTGGGGGCAGTCCTCTGACAGCGTCATCTGCCCCGTACGCCGCTACATACGCCCGTGTTAAAACTGCGGATGGAGGTGCCACATTTATGCCAATATGTAGCGATCCTTACTGCAAAAACTGTCAGAGTGCGCAGTTTTCAGCGGCGACAGCCAACTGTACGCAATGTAGACATGACACTCCGAGCTATTCGGGACTGAACGGAGCTATTCCAGTCGCCTTACCCCTGGGCACAACTTTCCCAGCGTACGCCTTACAAAACGGAGTAACTACGCCATCATATCTTTATCCACATACCATGACATTACCGGCAGCGGCGCCAGCCACGTCAGTTATACCAGGGCGGGACCATGTGTGCAACTGGGTGTCTGGATCTACCAGCTGCGGGAAGAGATTCTCATCGAGTGAAGAACTTCTACAACACTTGCGTAGCCACACTATGGTATCTAATGATACCTATCACACACAAATGGTAGCCTCACCACTAGCGGGAACACTGAACCCTTGTCATTTGTATTACACACCAACTGCAGCCGGTCATGCTGCAGCGTTTCCGAGGCCGACACTATCAGGGGGAGCTCTGAGCCCCCTTAGTGCACTCAGATATCACCCATACAAACACATTGGGCTGAACCCTTCTGTAAGTACAGCAGGTGCCACTCTGAGCTCTATCCCCCTTCCAGCAGCTGCCTTTTACTCCCCATATCCATATTTCGATTTAAAACAAAGACTGCCGACAGCTGTGCCTCATTGAATAAAAAAACACATTTAAATGTTGTAAATATTGTTTAAGTGTTCAAAGCTTTTTATATATTATTATTTTATTGAGAATGATTCGTAGTTTGCGCCACATTTAATGTGCCTCTTCTACACCAGTCACGTTTTCTGTTCTAACTTTAAAATGTGTTCAAAACAACGTGAACTGTTATAAAAATTGCCAAATTTGAGTGGGGGGGGGATACGGATTCACAGGCGTCGTCTCGTTAGTGGCATTTACAGGCATTAGATTGTCTTATTTTTCTTTTCGTTTAAAAATTCCCACAGGGAATGTACGTTTTGGGTTGATGTGTCATTTCTATACAGTATATCAGGTGTCAGAAAGTGTAGTTTTAATATTGGTACACGACAAAGCGATGACCCCATTCAGTCTAGACTCATTTCTTGTTTCTGGAATTATGAGATATATTCCATTTTGTTCAACAATATATTTTGGGGCAGGATGTCTATTAGTATTTTTGTACTATTCACTACACGGCGCCTGACTTTGTATTATCACTTTAAACTTTTCCCAGAGGGCGTTTGTAGAGTTGTTGTAACATACAGTATATAAATACAGTATTTTGGTATATTAAAATTATTGAATATGTTAATATTTACGTGTGCTGGTTTGTTTGTTTGTTTGCCTCTCCTCATCTTCTTGATATGATAATTGCGGAACAATGCCGATTTCAACTGTTATTCACAAATGGTAAAGCGATACTGTCTATTTCAGTGAATAGTGAATTCACTACAGTATACATGATTCCATATAATATTTACCCTTACGTCTCGATTCAGTAAATAACAGATAATGATGAATTCGTCATGTCAACTATCTAACAATACTAGTACTTGCGATTATGTTGATCATAATTTCTGACTTGCTGACTTGAAGGCTTCAACCGATTGGGGGCGGGGTAAGTGGTCGTTTATGAGTTGAGTACGTCCAAAATTGTGTCCAGGGGTTCTACTATATAGATTTTTGATCTTGCACATATTTTCTACCTGCTGGTGTACGACGTTACGACGATCATTAGTTGGTGTGGAAATTAATAACCCGGGGACGTTTTGGAAATTATCGCCAAATTTAATGATATACAGAATATGTAACTCCTTCCATGTACCAAAAAACTCAAATTGAGAGCGCCCTTCGTTGTTTCCCAAGGTTCATTTTTCACTTTCATCTCGGCAGACCGAACATTTCACATTTTACTGCATTTCGCTATGCATCCCGCGTGCCCGTACTGCTACACCCCAAGTTAAAAAGTGCTAGTGAATACGAGCTCGAACCAAACTTTCTCGTTTGGATCATGTTTGGAAGAGGAACCGCTCTTCCCATTCGCCACCATATCCCACTTACCTCCAACCCCAGTATCCTCCAGTTTGATTTTATGGGCTTTGACTTTCTGTAGTGTTAAATATTTCTACTTAGCTGCAGTGGCGTGCCCGTACTGCTACACACCAAGTTAAAAAGTGCTAGTGAATACGAGCTCGAACCAAACTTTTTCGTTTGGATCATGTTTGGAAGAGGAACCGCTCTTCCCATTCGCCACCATATCCCACTTACCTCCAACCCCAGTATCCCCCAGTTTGATTTTATGGGCTTTGACTTTCTGTAGTGTTAAATATTTCCACTTAACTTCAGTGGCGTGCCCGTACTGCTACACACCAAGTTAAAAAGTGCTAGTGAATACGAGCTCGAACCAAACTTTCTATCTCGTTTGGAACATGTATGGAGGAGGAGCAGCTCTTCCCATTCGCCACCATATCCCACTTATTTCGATTTAACTGCAGTGGCGCTTTTTACGAAACCCTCTTGACGAATCACTGACGTCATCACGAGAGTCATTAACACATTTCGAACACTATTTCCGGTATCTGGATACTAGCAGTGAAAATCATACCTGCCCTCCAGGTTTTTTCACTACCTCCTCGTAGAAAGTTCGACTTTACTGAGTTAATTATTTCAAGAACCATCTAATCCATATCTGAGACATGCGGATTATGTTACAGTTCAACTGAAAGCGAGGGGAAGAAACCGATCTCCTTTCCGTGGGTAATGATGTCACGTGACACCTGGCCACGCACTATATGTACTGAGGATGAACACTGGCTGGTAAGGGGTTACTGTTATAGACGTCGAATAAAACATGAAAGTACATGTGATCCATTCAAATTACAAAGAGATTTGTCGAGAAAACGTTATTCCTGGCGGAGTTCGAGAACAATTGTACAGTGACAAATTGTTATTTATCGCGACGGTACCTTTTGTTCTTTACATTTTTCGAAATATTGGTTTTAACATGTTAAATGTGATATTATGCTTGATCTCTATGGAAACTCTAAACTGTGTAATTTTTACCTGAATAAATGGGCATCATGATGATACACACCAATGTGGACATTGTTTATTGACGTGCGATTTTTACCAATTTTCATGTACAAGTCATTAACCCTATACCTCCAGTGACATGTTCAAAACAGTTCTTTTTGCGGTGTGACGTGTAGAACCCAGATACATGTTACCGCCTAACGATTTAAGACTCGACAGTGTTAGACTTGTTCCAACACTGTATGAAAGCGGTATTTTCTTTGTGTAATGCCCTAACAAAAAACAACAATTTTTAATATCCGCGTCTGATATATTGCATATATTATATGTATGCCGCAGGCTATTTTTTATATTTTCATATGCGATATTGTCTTGCAGGGTCAAAAAAAAACAGCGATTTGTCAAGGTAAGCTTTAGAAAAAAGTCAGACAACAGGTGTAGTCGTACTCGATTTTATTTTCAGTGTTAACCAGAATTAGTTCTGATGATTGGTTGTATAGTGAATCTTCCGAGACAATATTAATGTAATAAAACATGTTTTTCAGAGCTCTGAAAACAATAATTCCGACGACCTACAGATGAGTTGTCTTGGATATCAGTCATTTGTAAACAAACTGCGTGCGTTTCTTGGCTACCGCATCAAATTGTTACTTGTAACAGAGATATTAGAAAAATGCCTCTGCTTGTAATCATATACACTCGACGTGTTACGTCTCGTGCAACGTGTGTACTGCCCCGGTCATTATATTCAAATTCATCGACGATTTAATGATCATTTGTCGAACGCATCTGTAAAACAAATAACACACGCCGGCGACGCATGCGTGCAAGTGACATACTTACAATTTAAGGCCAAACTACGAATAGATTTACTACAATTTACTAAAAACTGAAACGAAATGACGTTGTTGCTTGTATGATGAATGATATTGGTATTGCTTATGATGTATTAGTTTTAAATCAGATGTATTATTGCCTGAGGACGTTCAGGGCAATTCAGTAATACCTGATATAACCATGCAGCGGCACGATACATAAAACCGATGATCAATAATAACAACGGCTCTGTATTGTCAGAATGTGTACGCAAAGGTGCAAATCAATTGACTTTTATTTAACGGTTATTTGTTTCAATCACGGTGATATTCATTGTCCCTAATTTGCCGGCTCATGGACGAGTACTGTGACACATCTTGCGAATCGCTTGCCTTCAGGGTGGACACTCAGCTACGTGGCAAGCAGGTTCCCGAGGCTATTCTAAAACCAGAAACTTTGTGTGTGTGAGGGGGCGGAGGGGGGGGGATCATACGCACACACACGCAAAATAACTTGAATAGACTCCTCTTTTGATATTTAGCCCATCGTATTTAGAAAACCCCTAATTGTAAAATACACGTTACCGATAGGTTCTCGAACCATCCGCTTTTTGTTTTAATAATCGATACTCATTACATATTACTCTCCACACGAGTTTTGTGCCTGGTTTATGGAATGATGAGTGGAACAAAACATACCCGGATGTAAACGACGTGGTACACCTAATACACGTATTTATTTTAAATGTTATCACGGGTCACTCATTGCATTCCTTCATCAATCAACAGCTTAAAGTAGAGCGACATCCCTACTACCATGCAAGTTAATACCTTCCATATCACTACTTTGTTGATCTAAATAAAACTAAATAAAACAGGGTTCGATTCCCGGGTATTGTCAATGAAAATTCAAAACGAAATATTTTAAAATTAAGAAGTACGCTGCAATCATATTCGTCATTGGAGATATGCAGGTGAATTCTACGAAGAGTTCTGGAACAAAATCTGATTGACGGACTGATGGTGGTTTAGTAACTACCACCCCAGACTCTCATAGACCACCGCACAATAACAATAATGTGACGTCACAGGTGTGGTTTAATTTCGAGATATCTTTATGACCACAATTTTTCCTGACATGTTTTTTTCCTCGCATTATGGCATACGAATTTTACCAAAATAACAAATTCCACAAAATATTCACAGGAATTGTGTTCCTACTCTAGACTAATGTTAATAATCCGATCAAGTATACCGAGAAAATGATCGTATTTGTGCACCGGGTCCACATTTCTTTTTTTCATTTATTGTATGCATAACTCCTTGCTTGTTAATGAGATGCCGATTCGGTTTAAACTCAGTATAATGGTCCTAGATCTTTGGAGTATTGCGATGCAAGGGGTTCATTTTTTTTTACCATCATACTACTATCGGAGAAAAAAAAAAACCGACATCATTGGGAAGGCGTCGAGAAAACGTATACCGCGATTACTTGAACTTAATTCTACCCGTGATTAGATTGGATAAATTAGCCGAACGTGACTCCCGTGAACCGAAGTGGAAGAAATATCATAGTATTTTTTTTTAATAATGATGCAAACACCTTTTTATAATCCATAATAATAGTTGTCTCTTTATACACCGAATCATGCCAGTCGATGAACGAAAGCTTATGTGAATTGAAAAAAACAAAACAATTATACTACCATTCCCCTGAGATCCGTGTACGAGGACTCGTCCTTTATCAACTTTTACCCAGTTATGTTAAAATGGAAGTCGGCTTCTATAAAACGATCAAAATACGGTGTTTATCGGTAAATTGTTGGTTATAGTACCCGCAGTTTCACTATCACGATAATCCGCTACAATCGTCTCAAACACAGCACTATTTGTGTTTGAGCCGCCTTTTCAGAATATCACCCCACGGCAGAGTAAACACGAGTGTCGCTGCCATAGTAAGGCGCGGTAGCTTGATCCAGTACCAGCGACATAGAAGAAAATATCTGACGATAATTAATGTTTCTCTGTACCAGCAGAGCAGTGGCACGAAGAAGAATATATCTCGAGAACAGCTGCGCAAATAATACTGAATAGAAAATAATATATAAACATAGATAAAATGAGCAATAATTCATGTTTTACTGTGAATTTATTATGAAGTACGTCAATGTGAAATTTACTGGTACAATCGGTAACGTTGTGAACTGGTATGTATTCGAACTACCTCTGACCATGGAGGTGTACCTCCATGCTCTGACGGTGGTGAGCGCTGGGACTAATAGAATCCCACACCCCGACAAGAGGTCCTCGAGATGAAATTTCTCGAACGAGTTGGGGATCAAAACACCCCCAGCGAATGTGAGAAATTTCATCCCAGGCTCTTAGTGTGTGGGATTTATGTTCTCACATCACCTGAAAAACGTTATTAAACAGGGAAAACAAGCTTGACACGTGTTTAGAGGAG